AAAAAAAAAAAAAAAAAGCGGGAAGGGGGAGCTTAGTGCTTAAAAAAACCCGCCCTGTTTTGAAAACACTGAGTTCGGTATAAATGTAAAGCCCTTTTCCCCCTATTGTTAAGCGGGTGCCCGCCTCCTTTTACAGTGAGAGTAACAAGCATTTGTGTCTCCGAGCTGTCTTTCAAGCAGAGCTAAGAAACAAAATTCAGAAGTGAAGTTGCTAAGATGGCATTAGTCAGGGTCACTTTCAAGGGAGATCGTCCCAAGACCGGGAACATGCAGGAAATGAATGTCTGTATCTTGGATTGCCTTGCAGTGATGCTTTACCGTGACTCTTGCAGGCTAGATGGCGAGTTTATGGAACTGTTGCAGACAGTGCTGTGTTCATCCAAGTGCCCTGAGCAGATTCAGGTGTTATGTGCTGCCATCCTGAGAGAGATGTCACCTTGCAATGATCTGATCCTCTCCTGTGATGAGATTCAAGATACAAAGCTCTTGAGCATGGTATCTTCTGTCCTTTTGGCTCAGGTAACTGACCTGTCAAATCAGAAATCTTCCCTCGTCAATATGGATTTGGTTTCTGATTGTTCCTTGTTTGCTGAGCTCAAAGAGAGTGAAAACCAATCAAACATATCTAGGAAAAGGCAGAAGCATTTCCATGTTCATTCTGCTTTGTGTAGGAAAAAATGGCAACTTTTTTTGTGTTAAGTATTTGATAATAAAGACTGCTTAAAATAGTGATGTGTAGAGACGGAGGACCTTAAGCAGGCTTGTAACTAACTGGAAGCAAAAAGGAACACTTTGGTGCTAGCAGCTGTAACAGACTTCAAGTCAGGGTTGCTTGAACCTGTAGAGCAAAAGTTTTGAGAGCGAATTTATTACTACTACTTTTTATGGCACTGGCTTTCATGTTCAAATGTAAAAAAATATGCACAGAACCTATAAAACATGTAGAGCTATAAATGGGAATAGCACTTCAAAGATCTAGATTCTCCATGGAGAAGAAAACACAAGGACCTTCCCATTCTGACTGCTGCCTTCATTGACTGCCTTCTGGGGAATAAGCTGGAAACTCTTTTTTCTTCTTCTTCTTTTATTATTATTGTGCCTATTAAAAATGAAATATTTTTCTGAAACTTCTCATTCTGAGTTTCCCTGTGTGCATAGAAATGCCTCCTGTATTTCTGATTACTCCTCTGATTCTTACTTAGCTAGAGGAAAACATAGGAACAGAAAACAGTGCTGTATTATGCTCTGGCTTACAAAGCACCTCTCCCATATCCAGCCTTGAGACTGTCCTGATGTTCTACAACATAAAAACATACCCTCTGTTTTCATTTTTGTTAGATTACAACTCAAACCAGGAAGAGGTTTTCATCCATTTTTGATGTTACTTAAACTTACTATGTTTTAGTCATTTCAGCATCACTTCTCTAACATGGGGTGCAATGAGCAGCAGTCTCACTCGAAGGCAGCCACACTTCAGCAGAGCCTTTAAAATTATCTTCTACATATTTTCATTTGTCACTGCTTTGGGTGGAAACCATCCTCCTTTTCTTTGCCCCCATGTCCCCCTTCACTCTGCAGAGCTGATGTTCTTTTTGTAAAGCTTTTGGCTTTCCAGAAAACACAGCCTCTAGTGTTGCATTAGGATCTGTAAACCTGCCACTGATTTGAGTTCAGGCAGATTTTTCTCTGAGCAGCAAGAGATGTGTCAGCAACACACTTAAGTAGCCCCATCGTTTGCAGCTGACTGCAGCAATGTATCTGTGGGAGGAACAGGGTTGTTTCTTCCATTGTCCTTCACAGGACAGGTCCCCAGCCCCAAACCTCAAACTTCCTTTTCTTGAATTGCTTTGGTCAATTTATTCACGTCTATTCATGAGAAAAGCACAGAAATTGGCCCCAGTTGTGGGTGAGGTTCTCCCGTGAAATTCCTCACTGGAAGCTCACCTGCAATTTCCTAATTCCTTCTATGTTCTGGTACAAATCTGACTATTAGATGGGAAATGTCAGAGAGTGCTGTTTGTTCACTGCCTTCAGCAGCCTGCTGACCAAGACCCCGAGCAGCAGAGATGGTTTACTTTTTGTTGGCATGATGACATTCATGGAGAAAAAAACTTATCAAAAAGTCTGGGTCCACCCCTCATCTTTAACAAAGTTCTCAGAGAGAGGGGTTTGACAGCATCTCAGAACCACAGCTGTAACAGCCTCCAAAAGAGGAAGCTGCTTTGTCTTCCATATTATGAGGATATAGACTAATCAGAGAGTCCTAGAACATGTTACAACAGCCCATTTTCTGTTCATAAATTTCTAATTTAAACAATTGAGCTAGCAAGCTGACCATGTGGAGAGTAGTTAGTGCTAGTACTTCTGCTCTAGAGTTGATGGATCATAGCATTTAATTGAAGACATCCACTGCAGTTGTTAATTTCCACTTTAGGTGATGGTTGTCCGAAAGCCTGTTTCTCCATCAAAGTACTCTTTCCTCCTGGGATCTGTGAATTCACATTGCAAAAGATCTCTGTAAAATGTGGTAAAATAGCCTGTGCTGTGAGTTCTTTTTATGTTTGACATTAGTATCAGTGCCTGATGGAAGAGTTTGTATAGTGTTGGTCTCTAGTGCTAGTAGAAGATTATCTGCCTAGCTTTACCTCTGCTTTATTTTTAAGGGAAAGAAGTCTGAAGTGTCTGCTGTGGGGCAGCGAATTGTAAAAGTCCTTGAAAGAAGACTGCCTGAGGGTCAGCATGCTCGGTACCTTCTTCCTGTCCTGTCAAATGTTATCAGTCTTTCACCAGAATCTCTAACTGAAGGTAAATGTATAGGAAGGCCTGAGATTTCCATCTGGCTGTAGTGATCAGAAGGCTCTCTGAAGGCTTTGGCTAGGAGTAGGACTTGGAAAGTGCTGTTAAAAGAGACATCTCTGCCACAAGGAAAGTGAACTTACTAGGCGAGGTATATTCCACCACTCAAAAATTGGACTGGCTTTTCAGCTGCTTTGGCCCTTCTGGGGGCCACAGTCTCTATTCTGTGTGGATTTGTATCACAGTAACGTGTACCATAGCTAAGGTCTCCAGATGCAGTAGGAGTGTGAAATTGTAGCTATCCTGAAAAGCATCAAGCAAAGTGAGATATAAACAGAGACAAGCCTGTGTATCTGTTCAAAAGAGCAGCAAAAACAACTCAGGGTACTCTTCATAAGAGAGGCAGGACTGTATGGGTGAGTGATCTGCCCTGGTGAGTAAACCATAGGAGAGCATTCCAGGCTTAAAATGGTGAGGAGCTGTGTTGTGAGCAAGAATGCTTCTGGGAGTTTCCTGTGAGGTTTGTGTACGTTGTGCAGTATGTAGGAGAAGCTTTGGGGAGGATGCTGGGCTGGGATGTCTGGGCTGGCTGTGCAGGCAGGATTACTTGCCTTAGCTTCTGTGTGTTCTCTGTGAGGGATTTATGCCTTTGTCTACAGAGCTGGAGCCAGTCTGAATAGATCTGAGAGTATTTTTGCACCTTCCTCCTAATAGCAGCTGTGGATGGAGACAAAGGAACAAGTACTTCCTGACAGCTGCTACCAGAAGTCCTTGGTTCCAGCACTCACTCCCTGACTTTTTGTATGAGGAAATAGGAAAAACATTAAGACTGACCCAGTGGCTAGGAATGAGAAAAGGACACAGAGCTCTGAAATGAGCGTGAGCGATCCTGGACTCTGAAGTAGTATCAGGATTATATAGCATCCCCCTTGGGTTACCAGTTTCTTAACTGATTGCTGGATCAGAGACACAGTGATCTAGGCTGGAGGAAAAGCACAACAATTGAGGGGTAGCAGGAGTAGCTTCTCTGCCCGATCTAGCAATGACCCTGTGACTTTCCTTGTACAGAACAGACCAATGTAGTCAGTAAAAAGATGGCCGACTGGCTGAGGTATGCAAGTATTCAGCAAGGAGTTGCTCAACCCTCTGGAGGCTTCTTCTCCAATCCCAGAACCAGACAGGTGAGTGCTGAGTTGCTGTGGTCATCTCACAGGGGCATTTATTAGTTACCTGCTGTTTCAGGTTCCCAGAATCAGCATCTTTCGGGAAATGGTAACCTAGAAGTGCTGCTGTTTGTCACTTTTTGTGGCGTAAGTGGTCAAGGCACATAGGAAGGCAAAGTAGGGGGATTTGTAGCTCCAAGATTCTAAGAGTTCTGCTGTAGGGCCAGAGCTTTGATTCTTGAATTAGTTTTGAGGGGAGTCTTCTAGTGACCATGTACCTCAGAGTAAAAGCTGATTGCAAAATGAGGCTTGTGTCAGAGATAAGGGGAAAGTTGCAGTGTTTCAGCTGGGGAAAAGAATCCAACACAGTTGGCTTTTCTCTCTCTGAATAACTGTCCCCCTGCAGGTCCCACAGTACATATAAACAAGAGCTACTTGTCTTCATGGGCTCAGTGGGGTTTTCTGTGTTTTCTCACCTGGAGATATGACCTGCTGCATCTTTTCTTGTAGCCTGGTCCTGTCACAGAGATGGATGGTGCCATTGCCACAGACTTCTTCACAGTGCTCTCGGTGGGTCAGTACTACACACAGGACCAGTGGCTCAACATGCAAGCCTTCTCCATGCTGCGGAACTGGCTGCTGTGCTATGGGGGCAAGGGCTTGGAGACCCCTAATTCAGGTACAAACTGAAGGGCTGCAGGCCAGTGTGGGTTGCACCCCCAAGAGGGGTGTGTGCTCTGAGATGATTAGGTGGCTGCACCAGCAACCCAGTAAGTGGCATGAATATGGGCAAGAGTTCAGAGAGCTTGGACTAGAAGCAGGGAAACTTTGGGAAGGAGTATCACAAAACTCCTGACTGATCCTTACTGACCCTTCCACAAGGAGCTGTTCATTCAGGGAGTCCCCTGGTTTCAGGCAAAACCCTATGGGTCCCTGAGGTAAAAAAAGCCTGGGTGGTGAGAGACAGTATCTCCTTAGTCTTCTTGTGACAGTCCCTGCTTCACCTTTTCATCACAGTGCCCCTGGGGACAGGCAGCTCCCTTGCTGTTGCTGGGCAGCTGTGTGGGTTACGCTGCCCATGGTGTGAGCTGGTATGTGTTAACCTTTATTCTGTAGGTGAAAAATCAGGAATGGACAGGTCTGCTACATCCATGGTCTCAACTACATCCACATCTAGTCGCCTGCTTCCCCCAAAGGAGCGTCTGCGGGAAAAAGCCTTCGAGTACTGCCAGCGGCTTATTGAGCAAAGCAACCGGCGTGAGTCTTGCCATGACCCCTCCTTGGAGTTCTCTTGGTAGTGTTCTTGGAAATGTTTCTAGTTTGCTGCCTCTTTGGGCTTGGATCTCGCTCCCTAGAGTGTTCAGTCAGGCTCTAGGCAATCGGACCTGGTGCAAATCATTGACCAGCCCTGAGCTGGGGTGTTGGGGGGATTTGAAGGCAATGGCCATGTTCTGCCTCCTATCCTTGATATGGAGGGGGAGCGCTGTGGAATTCGGTTCTCATCAGCCTGGAATCAGGATCAGTATGTGTTCCCACCTGTCCTGAAATCTGGGTTAGTGCTCAAACTGACAGCCTAATGTTCTTGTTTGGACTCACATTTTACCTTGGACTCCATTCTCTGGCAGGACCACTGAAGAAAGATGATGGAGACCTGCAGAAAGCTGTAAGTACACAGAGGTGGAGCTGAAGCTGTGGGAGTTGTGGCTTCCCCCACTCCGATCTGTCTCTGCTCTCTTGCAGTGTCTCATTGAGGCAGTGACAATCATGGACATCATCTGCAAACAGGATTCCTCCTACATATACCGCACAGTCTCCTTCCTGAAAATCCTGCACGGCAGAATCTGTGGGGATGCCGCTTATGCCAGGGCACTAATACCTATTGCCCAGTTCTTCCTGAACCACAGTAAGTCATCAGGTCTTACACTCTCCTCCACGATCTAGTCTTGCATACTCTCAGCACAGCCTTTTGTCCTGGCAGTTTACTGGCTGCCAGAATTGGTAATTCAGCCTTGACTGTGCTCTGGGATGGATCCCACTCCAGGAGACCTAGGACCTGGGATGTCTGGTGCTCTTTAGAAAAACATAACCCAGATTTAGCTTAGCCCCTGGAGCCCTTGTTGGCAGGGCTGCTTGGGTGGGCCGTGCTCAGCAACGTGCTGTGTCCCCCCAGGCAAAGTGGCAGCTGTGGATTCCGATGCAATCTACAAACACTTGTTCACTGATATCCCGGCTCAGCTCTTCCACAACCCATCACTGGCCTTCGAATTTGTCCAGTTCTGCAAAGACAACAGCCAGCTCTTCACTGAGACCTCCAGCATATTCAGGCAGAGCTTCCCAAATCTCTTCAAGGTACAACTTGCTGGAGCAGCACAGGAGAAAGCCTGCTGCATGTTCCTTGCTGCACCCCAGAACTTTGTTTGCTCCCCAGAGCCCTCCATGTGCCTCTGTGGCAATGCTAGGGAGAGCATGGGCAAGGACTGTTATAAAAACAAGTGTGAATTTGAAGAGGGAAGAGGATTCTGGGTGTGATTAGCACTACCAGTAGAAGAGAGTTGGTGTTAGTATTACTGCTGGTGGGTTGGGAAGTTCAGTGAAGCCAGCTAGAACACAGCACTTTGTTTCTGGAAAACTTTAATAAGTTGCAGCTTGCCAGTCACTGAACCAGCTGCCAGATGCCTGGTTTGAGTTTCCAGCAGCCTCCCAGGTTTTGACCAAACCCTCAGACTTCTCTGGTTCTGCTTTTCAGAAGTGACTTTCCCTTCCCTGTCCCTTTTGGTCACAGTGTGAGAATTGTCTGGGTTTGTGGTGGTGTAGCAGGAATAGCGCAGCAGTTTGTGTTTGTTTCTTGCAGTTCCTGGCGTGGAACAGCCCACCCCTTATCTCTGAGTTTGTGGACCTTCTCCCATTTCTGCTGGATGCAAGCACAGCTGTTGAGATCTTTCATTTGTTGCTTGATCTACCCTGTTTGACAGCAGCTCTGGACGTCCAGCTGAGGTAATGCTACTTGCCTTTCCTCCTGCTTGCTAATCAGGGTCTTGACATTGACCATAGCTTAGTACACGCTTTTCTGAGCCTCAGCTGCCCTCTGGCTGCTGCTGTCACAGAACAAGAGGCATCTGCAGCAGCCACATTAACACAAAGCTGCACAGATGTCAGCCTGATTTTCCTAGTAATGTGCTGTGCACAAGAAGAGAAGGTGACCAGCTCTTACACTCCAGTACTGGACTGTCTGAGGCTCAGGGAGCTGTTGTCATTCCCCTCTCCTTATCCAGCTCCAAACAGTTGCCACATGCTGAAGTATCTGCCATGAGTGAGCACCACAACACGGAAGCGTGGGCTACCTGGTCTTCCCTCCCAGCTCTTACCCTTTCTTCAGGCTTTGTTCACCTGGAGGCATACAGAAGTTTCTTCCTGAGGTCATTAGGAACTGTGAGTCTCCAGGAAGATGGGGTAGGACTGGGACTGGCTCTCACTGCTGTACCTCTGCTTTTGTTTTTCCTGACATTAGCAGCTCTTTCTGGAGTGCTTAGAAAATGGGTCATCCTAGACGCAAGAGTTGGTGGGCTTCAATGACTGAGGGGTACAGAGCACCATTTTTCCCCTTTCCCAGGAGTGATACAGAAGCAATTCTGGAACTATTGCCTGAGCTCAGGCTCATAATTTTTTGTCATCCTGTTTCTCTCACTTCCAGAGGGCCTGGATTATCCCAACTTGCTGTCCCTGTTTGAGTGTAGGGAGTTATTCCATTGCTCAGGATTCCAGCTATGTCCTGGCTTATTCTTACAATGCAGGATGTTCTGTGTGTGCCTCCTGCTAGGTCAGCTGCTCTTCCTACCTCTGAGAAGGCTGCCAGCGACCCAGCTGTGAAGCCAGCCACCTGTCTGGAAGCTTTTCGCCATCCCCTCTACAAGAGCATGTTTCAGTATATTCTCCGCACCAAGTCTGCTCCTGAGGATGCCCCAGAGAGGTAGGAGCCTGCCACGGGGGTTGGTTCAGCCATCCAGCTCTGGGAGGCAGCACTGGCATTGCTGGGAGAAGCGTAGCCACTCAGCTGAGGTGAGGTGGATTTGATCTTCAACATGTTAGCTCTGCCAAGCGCTCAGAGTCCTTGAGGGGGGATAGGGAAGGGCAGCCAGGAGAGTAGCTGGGAATAAGCCTTCAACAGTAACTTTTCTGTTGCCCACAGGCTGATTCCACTTCGGCAGCTGCTGGGATCCCTGGCCAGCAGCCCAAGGGTTGTGCAGTGTGCGGAGACTGTCCCTGTCTTACTGGAACTCTTTTTCAGGGTGGTGGCAGAGGTAGGGGTAGGCCCTTCTGGGGGTGTTTGGCTCCCAGTCATGCCATGGGGATCTCATGTTATGTGAAGAGCAGTCATAGAAGAAATAATGTTAAGACACTGCAGCTTCAACAGAGTGAGGTGCCTGAGGGGAGGGTGGAATGGTCTAATACTGGCATGAACCAGCACTGAGCTGGCTACTTCATCTGGAGAAGCAGAAAAGCTCCATGGTGCAGTGTCAGGCTTCACACTGTTCTCTCAGCCAGCTGTAAAGGAGGTGGACAAGAGGAGAATGAGTGCCTGATAACCTGCTTTGTGCACTGCTCCCCTCCTGCTAGATCAGGCTGTTTCTGTGCCAGCCGTCTTACGTGGCTGGTTAATTTGGGTTTTGGCTGCTGGAAGGCACTGGTATTGCTGAAACAAGGGCTGTTTTTCAGTTTGCAGATGGGCCACTGATAAACCAGCTGGTGGTGCTGCTGCTGCAGAGGAGTGACCAGCTCTATGAGATTCCAGCATTTAAAGATGACGTGTACAGGTGAGATGGGACCAGAGGCCCAGCCAAGCTCCCAGCCCTTCCACTGTGACAGCCCAGAGGCCTTTTCACCTGTGGCCTGGTCCCTGCTGTGACACATCTTTAGAGGTGCAAAATGGGGACTGCACCTTCAGCTCTGCTGGGAACACCCCAAGTGTACAGCTGCTGTGCCAGGGGCCGGGTGCTGCCAGCACCTCCTCAGTTTGGTGTTGAGCCCCTTGCCCGTGGTCTGAGCTCTGCCCATCTCTATGCTCCAGGGTGCTGAGCTCGCAGCTGGTGGTGCTCTGCAAGCTGCACCCTGCACTCGTCGTGGAACTGTCCACAGAGATTCTGGAGTTCTCAGGAACAGTCAGCAACATCCAGAACAAGGAAGCCATCTTCACCCACATGGTAAGCAGGGCCTGCCTGCTTCTGCCACAGGTTTCTCCTGCTAGCCAGCTCCTAGCCATCAGTGTGCCCAGGTGGCATCGTGGCTTGTATCAGCAATCGCATGGCCAGCAGGGACAGGGAAGGTCTCTTACCCCTATGCTCAGCACTGGTGAGGCCACCCCTCGATTCCTGGGTTCAGTTTTGGGCCACTCACCCCAAAAAGGCCATTGAATGACTTGAGCGTGTCCAGAGAAGGGCAACGGAGCTGGTGCAGGGTCTGGAGCACAGGTCGTACGAGGAGTGGCTGAGGGAACTGGGGGGTTTAGTCTGGAGAAGAGGATGCTGAGGGGAGACCTCATCGCCCTCTACAGCTCCCTGAAAGGAGATTGCAGAGAGCTGGGATGAGTCTCTTGAACCAAGAAGCAAGCAATAGGACAAGAGGGAACGGCCTCAAGCTGCGCCAGGGCAGGGTCAGGCTGGCTCTGAGGAAGAATTTCTTTGCAGAAGGGGCTGTTGGGTGTTGGAATGGGCTGCCCAGGGCAGGGGGGGAGTCCCCATACCTGGAGGGGTTGAAGAGTCGGGTTGACCCAGCGCTGAGGGATCTGGTGGAGTTGGGAACAGTCAGGGTGAGGTTCATGGTTGGACTGGAGGAGCTTCAAGGTCTTTTCCAACCGAGGTGATTCTGTTGACTCTCTGATTCTACTGCAGTGCACTGTGTCAGTCACCTTCCCTTTCCTCCTCTCCTCCATCCTACATTAGCTAATCTGATTTGCTATTCCCTGATTCTATTCCCTTTCCTTCTTGCCCTGAGCACACCTGCCTTTGCTTCAGGTCTGGGCTATTGGAGAGTACATGTCTGTGTCCTACGACAAGCGCTGCACTGTGGAGCAGATCAACCGTTTCTTTGAGACTCTAGAGGCCATGCTGTTTGAAATTACCCAGCTCCGGCCTCTGGCCAGCACCCCCAGCTACGCACCCCGCGCCATCAGTGCCCTTATGGCCACCTTGACCAAACTGGCAGCTCGCAGCCAGGACTTGATCCCCAGGTGAGGAGGGGTGACAGAGGGCAGAAACGTGCAGATCTCAGGGGTCCAAACATGGATGTTTGTTGGTATTAAATAATTAAGCTTGGCAACTGATGGAACCTGAAACTGAAACAGGACAGAGGAAGCAAGCTGTGGAGGAGCGCAGCTCGGAGAAGCAGGATTTATCTGCTGACTTGTGCTCTGTGCATCAGGGGCAGGGGTGGGTAGCATCTGGTGTTCACCTACAGCAGAGTCTTTTGGAGGATGCAGGATTAAGGAGTGACCTTGGCGAGTGCAGTCCTGCCAGCTGATGTCCGTGTCCATCTCTCCTGCAGAGTGTCCATGTTCCTGTCCAAGATGAGGACATTTGTGCAGAGCCCTGCTGTCACCTCTGTTTACTGTGAGGAAGACCTTGAGGAGATCCTTATCCGTGCAACTGAGCTCATGAACCTACTGAAAATGCCGAGCGTGGCTCAGTTTGTGTTCACACCACCCGTAGATGTGGCCAGTACGCGGTTCCAGAGAGAGGTGAATGACTCCCTCCCTTTTGCCCTGAGGATGGTCACCCGTCTCCTTGAGCCGAATCCTGGCTTCGTGCCGGGGTGAGGGCATGAGGTTTCTGAGAGGCTCCAGCCTCTTATAACTCATTGGACATTGCTGATGCTCAAGGCCGAGGCCCTGCTCTGGACTGGAAATGAGGAACAAATGATTGTGAATGAAACAGAAAACAGGAATAAGTAGAGCTGAGACTGCTCTTTTGGTCTGAGGCTGTTTGTATTTCTGTCTCCTAGCACCTATTGCTTTTCTGTCTCCTAAGCTTGGCCAGTATGGATTGAAAACCCCCGTGGATTTGTGTGAATGTGGCAGGAGGTTGGGTGCATGCATTGATAACCTGCCAGCACACCGTGCCCCTTTGGAGACATATTTCTTCTTCGCTCCCCTCCTCTGCCTCGTTTCTCCCTCCCCTTTGCCCTTGCTACACCCTGGCTGTGCACATGCTGCTTTTATCACCTCTCCACTTGTAGCAGATTAGTCAAGCCAAGGCCTGTGCGAGGTGGAGGCAGCAGAAGTGACTCCATGAAGTTGTCTGCGAGCCCTCAGTGCTCTTCTGTCTTACCATCAGAGCAAACATGCCAAGATCCAAGAGACAGCTACCAGATTGGAGCTTAGAGAGATTTATTGATCCAGTTTATTGTTGACACCAAGAGCATTTCTTAATATACATCAGCCCCGTGTCAAACAGGCGCCATGCTGTGTTCTGTAGCGGCATGAGAAGTTTATACATGTTTGAGCTGTACAGTATTAACAAATGGGGGAAGTAAATACATCCCACTGCTTCTCCCGGGAGAAGCAAGCCCTCATGCACACTAGTAAATTGCAGGGCTTATTTACAGTCTGCTTCAAAACCGGACTGTGCTGTGAGCAGTGTACAGCTCAGAGGCTGGTTCCCACCTGCCTGCGGCTCGGTGGAGAGCAGAGGGTTGTGTTGGTACTGCTGGAACTGGCCAGGGTGCAGCTCCAGTCCTGTCTAGTGCAAACCAAGCCTTGCCCCAAGCGTTTGCTCCTGGGCAGAGGCGAGTAAGGAGTGCATGCAATTTTCTCAGGGGCTCTAGGCAGCCTCTTTCCTGCCCTACAAACCTGCTGAGCTCGTGGGGGATGACAGGCCAATGTACCTACTTGATTCAAAGTCAAGTGAGTCACCAGGAGCCCTGGGGGGCCCTGAGCCTTTGCTCACCTGCCTGGTGCAGCTGAGTCAGTGGCAGGAGGGCTGCAGTGGTCCCAGGCCTTGCATGCCATGAGCATGGCCTAGCACAGAAGCAAGGCACTAGTGTCTTGGGGAAGGTGCTTTGTCTGTCTTGCCCTAGAAAAGGCAGCCCACGCTGTGTTGAAATCCAGTCGTGGAGTGTTTCCTCTGCGTGGATTATTTTGACATCTCTCTCCTTCTGCAAAGTGCAAGGCTAAGCACAGAAACCAAAACTACAGCAGTGAGGTTTAATTAAGGCCAACCCTGTTAAGCATCCCTTTTTTAGCATCACAATCCTCGGAGCACTGTTCTTGTGAGATGCCTCATGAACATCTGATTTGCTGCCAGAGCCTAGACCATGCTGTTAAGTTTAAGGGCAGGGTGTGATGTAGGGCTTTGCAGCAGGCTGTTTTAATAGGGTTCAGCTAAACCAGGTCTCAGTATCTGTCTATATGTAGAAACCAGGTCGGGTTTATCCCGTTTAATGTTGCTAAAAGCACAGGGAGGAGTTAGCAGGCAGGAGGCCGGGTGTGCAGGGGACCAGCCAGCCACACGATGGAGCTGCCACCTCAGTTCTGCTGACACCGTTGCTGTCGGCAGCAGATAGCAGAGCTGTTTCTGGGACATTCAAGACAACCTTCCAAACGGAGCCTTTGCTGCCTGTCATCACCCGTCGGCATGTCAGCAGCACGCGCGTCTGAGGCGCTCTGAGCTGGGCAGGAAACGGGGTGGCCTTAAAATGACCTGGCGAAGCTGGAGGGAGAGGACTCGGACACGAGGTCAAGATGTTATTTGCCTGGGCTAGTGTCAGCCACACCTAGGGTCTGGCACCGCATGCTGCCGGGCTCACTCGGGTTCCTGGTGGCACAAACCCACTCTTCCCAACTCACAGGGACCAGAGGCCAGCACAGAAGCGCTAACCTGGATGTAAGCCCCTTGAGAGGGCAACAGCTCCCATGTGGGGAAATTATCTGCTGCGAATGCCCCACGCTGCTGGGTCAGTCCTGGGGCCTTCTGCCAGGATCACAGTGCCAGAGCCAGGCAACAAATGCTGCATGAGCAAGGGTGAGAGAGTCTTTTCTTCAAGGGGCTCTCCCCAGGACTCGCAGGGAACTGCTGGTGGTGTCAGCCCTTTGCTGTAGCTGCTTCCCATCCCAAAGCAGGGCTGGGGCAGCGTGACTGTAGCCCAGCAGCAGCAGGGTACCTGCCTTAGGGTATGGCACTAGGGAACTTCTTGCAATGCATCCTGCTAGGAATCCCACTCCTGGGTGCTTGTGCTGCCTTTACCACCCCCAGAGCTGGGCACCCTTTTCCAGCCTGATGTGCCAGCACCTCAGGTGGCCACTGCCACAGCGAAGCCCAGGCCTGCCCCACATGCTAATCTTTAAATCCTAAAGCATGAAAGATCATGTGGGGCTGCCAGCATGGAGGAACAGAGGAGCCTGCCTGCAGTCCCCTCGGGGGGAGCATCCCCTTCCTACCCCCTGCCAGAGGGAGCAAAGGACCAGGAAAGCTCCTGAGAAGGATGACACATGGTATAAGGTGAGGCCAGGCAATGGATCAGGAATGATGCTCCCAGCCCATGCAGTGGGGGAAGCGTGCACCACCCTTGCATGTCCATGTCCTTTCATCCGCTGCAGCGCAGGGGCAAGGTGTCAAAAAGCGAATTGAGGGCAGTTGTGGAGTCCTGGTCCTCCCTCTTGCACTCCAGGCTCCCCGAGGTCAGCCTTAACCAGAGCTGCACCCACAAGGTGCTGCAGAAGGACCCTCCTACCACAAGGACTAGGAGGAAGAGGAGCTGGAACTGATTTTTTTGGCTATTTCCATGTCCGACTTGGCAACCAGAAACCGCAGCTTCTTCCCTCCGGAGCGGATGAGGTCCACCGCACTGCAGAGGGCAGCAACAGAGAGAGAAGTGAATTCTGGCTCCCCACAGGCTGGCAGCCCCCCAGGAGCCCGCCAGGTCACGGGCATTTGCAAAACACCTGCACACTCTGCTCTGTGCCTGCTCAGTCTTAAAAGTGGGGTCTGTTTCTCTTCTGCCTGTAGCATTAAGGAGAGCCTGGCCTCCACACAAGTGCTGCCAGGACGAGAGCAAACAAGCCCTGAGCTGCTGTGTCCCGTGGCCACCTGGGCTGTGCCTTGGACGGGCAGGCAGAGCATGAACTGCCCCACCCCGCTGCCTTTGAGAGGACGCCTGGGGTGGGATGGGGCTGGAGCAGCTCTGCCTGGCAGAGATCCACCTCTGGATCTCTCATTTGTTTCCTGAATATGTTCTCCAACTTTTGCTCCCAGATCCTTCTTCCAAACCCCTCCAACCAGCTACCTTCCCCCCTTTCCAGTGTCCTGGCAGGTCACTCCTCCCTGCAGCTTGCCCGTACCGCAGCATCCTTGTGTTGTTGGCCAGCACTGTAGTACCAGGGACTTGGAGACCGTGTGCAACTCTTTGCTGCAAAACAGCTAAAAACCTGGACCCGAGCAGTAACTCCCACAGTGCCAATAGTGGACCAGGCCCTCGGGCAAGTTGTGACTCACCTTTGGTAGTCTGCCCCGATGAGACTGGTGCCGTTGACAGCCAGGATGCGGTCCCCAATGGAGAGCCTGCCGTCGGCGGCCGCGGGGCTGTCCTCAATCAGCGTGCGGATGTAGATGCCCGGGGAGCAGAGAAGAGTGTGCTGTTGGCAGGGAAAGGCAGTGAGCGACCAGCCAGGGCAGAGGGGACACCAAAGGTCTGCAGTCCCAAAGGGCTGAGCCCCCCGGGCAGGGTGACAGCTCACAGCCAAGCAGTGGGACCCTGGAGGCACTGGGGACCGTGTCACTAACAGTACCAGGAAGGAAATGCAAACCTGCTTTTCTTTCCTCATCAATTTATACACAGAAAGGAGAGGTGGGGGCAATCTTGTCTTGTTCAATTTAATTAAGAGTAAAGTGTCATTAACCTGCAGCTGTCTTGGGATAGGAGCTCTTTGTTCACAGCTGTCCCATGGGCTCGGTGATGGCCTGTTTCCTACTAATGCACTGCTGTGAAAGGCCACTTAGTAAGATGATCCAGTGCACTAAGCCAGATTGCAACGCCACCTTATGCAACGAGTGCTGTGGCTGGTGGAGTTGTTCTGGCACCCCACAAGCCTCCTTGCTCCCCTCTGCTTCCCTTGCCACCTGCTGAAGGGTGGATGAAAGACCTTGGCTGAGACATTTTCCTTCCACAAGAGAACTGAGCTGTTTGCTCTCTCCAGCTGCAGGCCAGCTGCAATGGATGCTTTGGCACAGTGACCCAGGAGCAGAGATCTGCTCCTCCCAGGAGATCACTCTGTGCTTCATTTTCCTCAGGAGAAGCAGGCTAGCTTCTGTGGGAAGCCATTAACTTCACTGCTGGCTTTCTTTGGGGTAGAAAACATGTCTCACATCTCACACCCCAGCTATTCAGAGGGGCATCAGCCCTGTCCCACAATCGGTGAGAACTCACCAAGCCATCGATCAGCCCCATCCCCAGCCCGATGGGTCCTCTCTCTAGCTCCACCACGAAGACGTAGCAGAAGTCATCGGTGGCAGAGCTGCGGCTGGAAGACTCTGGTGTGGGGTAGTCATAGGGAGTCGGTGAGCATCCTGGCAGTGGAGAGACCAGCTTACCGCTCTGGCATCACCCAAACCCAGCCTCGCAACCTCCCACAGAAAGCTGCCCCCCAAAACCCCACCAAATATGACCTCAGGTAGCCCCAAGGCTTGTTTTCTTCCAAGGCAGGAGCTTGATGAGATGCTTCGTTTGCTCTCACCTGCCTTGTCCAAGCACTGACAAGCCCCCGCAGGAACTGTCCGTACGGAGAGAGCTGTGCAGGAGAGCAGCAGCAAACCCCCTCATGCCCCAATCCTGCACCCCAAAGTAGGGCAGCGCCAGCTTTTGATACCTTCAGGGGTGCTGCCTTTGGTGCCGTTCATCCCATTCCGCCGGGGGTCCTGCAGCCCTTTGCTGGTGCCTTGTGGGGACTCCAGGCTCCCGGAGTCGAAATTCAGGGGGGTGGTAGGTGGCGTCAGCAGGCAGGAGGGGTCTGTGGGGGCAGTGCTGGCCTTGGGGGCCAGACCCCTGCCCAGCTGCAGCTGCTTGAGCTTCTCCTGGAGCTGGGGCTCGCTGGCGGGGTGCTCGCAGGGGCAGCCGTTGGCCAGGCAGAGTGGGGGGCTCCCCTCTGGCTCGGCGCAGCCCCCCAAGGAACAGTAGTCCTCCTGGGTGATGGCAGCAGCCAGGCTCTCGCTCACCTCCAGGACATCTGGCGTCGTGCATGCCTCTTTCTTAAGAAGGAGAAAAATGCTCTGTGGACCCTGCTGTGTGTGCTTTTCACACCCTACCTGCACCCCCACCACCCTGTTTGCTTTGCAGGCGGGATGGCTGTGTCTCCAGCCAAAGCCTTGGCAATCTGGATACCACCAGGGCTTGTCCCGGCTTCCTAGCACAGCTCCCACGCCCCAGTTTTGTGGCCAGGGCCATGCTGGGGGTGCTCACAGCCAGCCCAGAGGGGACTCCTAGTCACGACCCTGCTGGGGGATCTCATTGGAGGGGAACAGCGGGGGGGCACAGCTCCTTCTGTGGCCCCAGAGCTGGGAGATGTGGCCCCAGGGTAAGGGGAGGAAGTAGCAGTGCCTCTGGGTGCTGCAGTGGATGGGGACAGGGCAGGAGAGGAGAAGAGGACCTGCTGGAGGGACATGCTCCCCAGAGCGCTGGAGACAAGTGGCTTAGCACCTGCAGCATGTCTCACCCTCCCTGTGCTTTATAGGCATTAGCTAATTAGTGCTTTTGTGCAAGCCCGCCTGGCTACACAGGCAGGGTGCAGGGCAGGGCGGACAGAGGAACGTGCAGGGAGAAAGGGAGCGCTGCCTGCAGCCACCCCCCTCTTCCTCCCTCCTCCCCACTAACGAGATTGCTGGGACGAGCCTGTCCTTCCAGCTCACCTTCCCGCACCCCCCAGGCTGGGGGATTAGCAGCACTAATCTTTCCAGCAGCTCTACGTGAGGGCATGCCGCAGCTCCAGGCTGCAGGTGAGGGCAGCGAGCCCTTGGCACCGGGGCTGCAGAGGGACCTGAGACCCTCCTGCCCACCCAGGAAAGGAACAGCCCCTCTGTGGGGTACGGGCTACCTTTGGGGGTGCTGAGCCTGGCCCCTCACTGGCGTAGGGGCTCTTGCTCTGCAGGCTCCAGAGGAAGTGGCGGATGTAAAGGAGGTGCCGGTAGATGTTGTCATCCAGTGCCTCCACCTCCAGGTCCACTTTGAAGCCCCCACTGGGCAGGATGATGGGTGGGTGATTGTCGAAGGACTCCAGCACCTCATCTGAAAGGCAGAAGGAGGGAGGCTAGCACTGGCCGGGGCTGCACTCCGCTCTCGGCCACATGCAGTCTCCCAGCCGGGACTGGGGACGCGGTGAGCTGCGAGGCAGCAGCATCCCTCACTTGGGAACACAGAAAGAGCCCTAGGCCCTTCTGAATGCGCTTTGCATTCTTTGCAATCCCCAAATCACAGGGCTGTGGTTATTCCTGATGGCTGCAGTTACTACAGAAGCCTCAGGGAGGGGACGGGAATTGCCTGTTTGCTTTGTACATAAAAACCTCGGAGGGAGCCTGCGCGTGACCGGAGCAGCGCTGAGCGCGAAGCCAGGGGCTCACCGGGCTGGAAGGCGGCCGGGCTCTCCTCCTCACCAGGCTGCCACGCCGTGATGCAGCCCACATCCATCACCGCCTGGCACTGGCTCAGCACCCGGTGGAGCTGCGCAGGGCTCAGCGCCGGGAACTCAGCTCGCAGGGACGGCCAGGTCATCTGAACAAGGAGACAGAGCGCGGGGCAAACCACAGAGGTGAGGAGCTGCTTCCTCTGAGGAGCAGGGGCTTGCGAGGGGGACGGGAGGGAGAGACCAGGCAAGATGGAGTGAGCATGAGCATCCCTTACTCAGTACTGCCCACCCACGGGCCCACCACCCCAGGAAGGGGCAGCTGGCCAATAGGTTGCAAAAGGAGGGACATATCGCTGCAGGGACCCCCAAACTGGGCAGTCTCTCCTGCCTGTGCCCATCCCGATGCTACGAGCCCCAGGCTGAGCATCCCTCACCTGCATCAGCTGGGAGCCAGGCATGGCCAGCAGGTTGGCCACACTGGCAAGTTTGGCGAAGAACTGCTGGGCGAGCTGCTCAAAGCCAGCACCACGCAGCCACTCCAGGAGCAGCCGCACGCTGGCCCGCAGCTTCACCCCCTGTGACCAGTGGAAGCAGCTGAGAGAGGAGCCTGTGGAGGCAAAGCATCCATCAGCATGGGTCAGGGAACAGCCCTTCAGCCCGAGCCCAGACCCCACCCCAGGGCAGCGAAATAAATCCAGTTTAATGTCCCCAGCATCTTATAGATGTAACTCCTTGTGGTGGCTGGACCTTGCCTGGCACTAACAGCAGGCAGTGGGGCTGCTGTGTTAATGGGGGCTAACGAGCACCTCTATTACAAGCAGACTGCAGTGGTTTATTAATGAGCTGCTCCTCCAAACTGCTCTCAGCCTCCTCTGCTCAGGCTATGAAGGGCAGCACTCTTGCAGGGGGTGAGGATGGGGCACTTATGGCATTAAACCCCTCATGGGAATGGGGGCCCTGGAGACAGCAGCTGGGTCTGTGCTTGGCTTCCCCATAACGGTGCTGAGACCTGCCCATCTCCATCCCCCTCGAGCTGCTTGAAGCCCCCTCCCTCCTGTGCCCCCCAAGATGGCACTAGGATGGCAGGAGGGTTTCCCAGAGGGCTGGTCTCCTATGGGTTACCCAGTCCAGGCTCAGTGTTCGAGGAAGACTAACCCTTATCTAGGAGCTGGTTGAAGAGCAGCGTGTTGGAGAAGAAGAAGAGGTAGGCGAACATCTGAGAGGTGATCTCCGGGTGCACTTCGTACTGGCGGAGCAGGTCCAGCACCGCCTGGTAGATGAGCACAACCCTGCGGAGCTCCTCGGGCAGCGGCGGGGATGCTCGCCAGCTCTCCCGGCACTCGTTCTGGAAGGGGTTGCACTCCAGCAGGGCAGGGAGTGACACGTACAGACACTGCAGAGAGAGCAGCAAGTTCACAGCAGACTGGTTTTGTTTCTTTTTGGGGTTTTTTGTGTATGAGTTAAACCCTTCCAATCCCCCACAAGCTGAGTCAACTCCACTGGCGCTGCTCCAGCAAGGGGCTGATCCTGCTTATCCCCTGCCTCCCTGTGCTCCAGTGTGGCACAAGTATTTAAAAAAAAAAATTAAAATGAACATGTCTCTCACTTTTAGCACTTGGAGGTGACAGTGTGGGGAAGAGTTCAGCTAAATGGATCTGAAAATTGATCTGAACCAGGGCAGCAGCAGATCAGCTGGGCACGAGGGTGAAAGAAAAACCAGGACTGATGGGGATGGCCTTTTCCTATTGCTTACATGGGAGAGCAGCACCTAGCACCCACCTCTGCCAAAGCTGAGGGGGAGCCAAGGGTGCTGGGGAGGAGGGTGCTGCACAGTAGCAACTCTGCGTCCCTGCATGCCGATGCCAGCAGGCAGGCAGGGCCGTCCTGCACACAGCAGCCTTTCTCCTGCCTCACACTGCCCGCTCTGTTCCCCGCCGCCGATGCCACCCGCCTCTCGAGGTCCAACGGCGACGGTCCAGGGGCTCCTTTCCATCACGCCCTGAATCACACCATTATGCCGCGCTGGCCGGAGCCAAGCAGCTCTCCCCAGACGTCTCCCCTGAGCCGCTGCACTGCAGGCAGGGAAACACGCCGCAGTAACTCGATACTTTTCCTGGGCCGTGACCAAAAATCGGGGCATTTCAACCCAAAGGAAAACACCTCAGTGCAATGCAACTGCCAAAGAGTAAAAGCTTAAAAAAAACCCCAAACCTCTTGCACAGCCCAAGAGTGCTGCTGGGGATGCTGTGCCGGCCCCGGGGGATGCTGCTGCCCTCCCTGGGAGCGCATACCTTAGAGATGTAGTAGACGCACTGTTGGAAGGTGTACATGATCACCTCCTCCAGCACCGTCATCGCCTCCTCGCTGGCTGTGATGGTCGAGGAGAACAGAGACTCCTTGGAGCCTACGGGGCAGAGAGCAGGATGGGGGAGCAAACCTGCAGCAGCAAAGCAGGCTGAATTCACTGCTCCCCAAATCCTCGGGGTGGGGGTTATCAGTGATCCCGGGTTGGCATTGCCACCCTGACATCCCCCCAACAGGGGCAAAGATGCTCCTCTCATCCCAGAGCTCCCACCTGCACCTCCAACAGTTCACAGCATCCCTCCAAGAGCCTCTCTGGCCTATGAATGGTTTTGTCTTGTTTTGTTTTGTTTTTTTCTGCATTAACACAGGCTCACCAGTGAGAATTCTGCAGGGCTGCCTGCAAATCCAGGTGCAGCTGAGGGGCAAAAAGCCCAAGACATTAGCCACAAGCTGCTGTGGCAGAAAGAGGAGGCTCAACTGCCAACACAGCACAAGCTGGCCCCAAAGCCAAGCAGCACCACAGCACGACACAAGGCTGCTCCTCCCGCACAGATTACCCCAGCCTGTACCACAGAGACGTCCCTGCTGATGAGGATTACGGGGGGGGTGTTAAAGGAGCATCCTGGGGACACTGACCACCGCTTGCAACTGGGGATTAGCCCAGTAAAGTCACTGTGGCTGGAGAAGCGAGCAGGGCGCTGCGTCCAGCCCTACCTCTGACGTCCAGCTCCTCCTCCATGCTCTGGATGTAGGTGGGTGATTTCTGCTGGATGAAGTACAGGACCTCGATGGCATTGGCCATCCAGAAGAGGATGTGCTGCAGGTCCGGGAGGAGGTCTGTGATGGTGAAGCGGGACAAGGCAGCAGGGTCCTGGCTGGGGAGACACAGCGGGTGTTACAGCTGCTGCTCCTCAACAACCCCACTCAAGGTTTTGGGGAGAAAATAGCCAGCCTGGGGCAATGCCACAAGAGCATTTGCATCTCCTCACCCCCAAGCCCAGCAGTCCCCCTTAGGAAGACCCTTTACAAGCAAAATTTTGGTGGTTCCTGCTCTGTGGGATGGCAAAAAGAACCCAGTGGGGACTGGGCTGGCTGAGGGCCACCTGGACTTTGTGGGGTGCTGCTTTTGGGGGAAACTTGTCCTGTTACAGCTGAACTGCAGTAAATACTCATGGCTGAAGAGCAGCTTTCCCCAAGAAGTATGTGCTGTTCCTGCCAGCTCTGGACGGTTAAACCCAGCTCACCCACACTGGGCTGTTCAAAAATAAAACAAAATTAATAAAAAGCATCTGGGAAGTTTCTCAGCTGGTGAACTGCTTTTTCCTGCTATAGGAAAGGCCTGGGAGCATCCTCAGAGCTTCTATTAAAGGATAGCTCCCAGCAAGCACCAACAGCCTCTCCAGATGCTGCATTGGATCCCGGATTTTGGAAATAGCTGGGAAGCCAGCCCCCCTGCACCAATGTGATGGCCCCAAAGGACACCCTGTGCCACTATCCCTGGCTGCACACATTCAACACCAGCCTTGTCCCTGCTCTACAGAGGGATCTTCAGCATGAATGGGGTGAGCCCCTATGCCAGGGTCAGCCCTGCTATGTCCTTTGGGGATGCTGAAGCCACATGTGCAAAGCCTTGGCCAGGTCTTGGACTGGAGAAGACCCCAGAGCTGCTGTAGGTCTTATTCTGCTCCAAGCTCTCCTGCTTTTCCAGCCCCACACCTTGTGAAGCAGGGGCCTTGCAAGCACTGTGGTGAAGGGACCAGAAAGCTGAATGCATGAGATTTAGGAGGAAATTCAGTGTGCATTGGTGCCACCAGCCTGGGAGGGTGGTTTTAGCCAGCTACAGACTCTCCTTGCTCATGGAGGAAGAACTGGGTTGAATCCTGCCCATTTTGGGGCAAAACAAGGGCAGCAGGTCGCACTTACTGCTGGGACTGCTTTTCAGCCAGCTCCCGCGTCCGCTCCTGCACAGGGAGAGAAGGGGAAAGCAAAATGAAAAACAGTGGGACAGGGTGACATGAGCATCACCCCACCCAGCACTCGCTGCTTCCAGGGGCCAGGCTGGGGGAAGCCCCCGGGGGGGTCCAGCAACACCCCCACCCCAGCAACACTCCTGTCCCACTGCTGACTGACCCACACTGTCCTCTGGATCATTGTGGCTGCTTTGAGCAGCAGCTGCCCGAAGTCGCCCGGCTCGAAGCTGGTGGCCGAGTGCTGGATGCAGAGACAGAGCAGGAAGGCGGGTGTCAGCTTGTGGTCATCCCCCCCCGGTTCGATCAGGGTCATGATGCGCCGCAGGAGCAAATCCTCAGCCGCCGGCTCAAACTCCAGCAGCAGCTTTCTGCGGGGCACCCTGGGGCCGTCGGCGGGCAAGGGACCCTGCTTTTTGGTGGCAGGGTCCCTCTCCTTGAGCAGGCTGCCGCACGCCCCGCAGACGGGGGGACCCTCGGGGACAGCGGGGTGCAGGGCTCGCAGCCTCAGCAGGGTCTGTGCCGGCAGCGGCTGCGCCTTCATGGGGTCCTTGTAGAGGAGCAGGTAGTAGAGACCGAGGGAGAGGAGGTCCCCGTGCCGCAACACGACCGTCCGCGCCACCTTGGCGAAGTTGACAGAGATGCCGGCACCGGCGATGGGCTCCAGCACCAGCTTCTCCTCCCAGTGATGCCGGGAAGGTTGGAGCTTCCTGATGGTGCAGTGCAGGGGCAAGATGTCAGGGGCCGACAGGCTGATGCTGGGCTTGCTTGCCTGCGTCCTCTGGCCCACCGTGTGCTGCTCGCGGTTCAGCAGGTAAACCAAGCTGTCCTGCCAAGAGGGGAGACGCGGGATGAACCGGGGAGGGGAGGGGGAGAAGGGACCCTCCTCCCTGCAGTGCGGTGGGTGCTGCAGCCTCCCGCCATCCCCCGGCCGCCCACCCGCCGGCTGCACCTTTGCACAGCAGAGCCACATTTCTCTGTTTTCTTTGCTGCCAAGCAGGACAGCAGTGATATACAGCAGGACAGGGCACACCAATAAATGGGCACGATAACTTTGGGCATGCAGCAAAATGAGGCTGCTTTGGGCAGAAGGAGCCCACCCTCCACCTCCTATCCCCTCCTTTCCCACAGCTGCTTTTCCTTCCCACTTTCTCCCCACAGACTGCAGCGATGCCTTAATCCCCCTGCCCAGGGGAGGACGGTGAGACCCCGGTGAGAGCAGCCACTCCCTGCCCTTCCTCCCCCCCCAGCCTCCTCCCATTACCACCCCGTGCCTCAGTTTCCCCAGCTGTACTAACGGGAGGGCTGCAGCACCAGTGTCACTCTGCCAGAAAGATTGGAACAGCCAGACACTCAATGGGGACAAAGTGGCCATTAACTACAAGAGCCATGCCAGTCCTTTCCAGTTCCCCCAGTGCCTCCAGCGCTGGGGAGCAGGGGCTCCCAGACGTGCTGTCTCCTTGCTGCCTCTCATTACGTTTGCCACTAATGAAGGAGCCAGACAGGGGACGGGGCAGCTCGGGCAGCTCAGCCATCACCCGCAGAACTGGGCCAAGGGCGAGGGATGCTGCTGCGGGGGTTTTCCCTGCCTCCCTCTAGGGCTTTGACCGGGTGTCGTGGGTCCCGGCTCTGCACCCCTCAGGGCTTGGGGACAGGTTTGGGGACAAGGCTCCAAGTCCCAAGCTGGCTCCGCTTATTTCCGAAAGGGTGCTCTTCCGCGCCATCCCCCCCC